TGTTACAGTTTTGGAGTTGGGACAAATGAATGTATATTAAGCATTAAAGAATCACTTGAAATTGCTCATTGAAAATGTTTAATTAGCAGTTTAGAATTTGCCTCAGCCTTTTTGTCAATGCTATGATATGGGAATTCTCATTCCTTCATTAAAATATGTGCTTTTTGATACACACTCTTTAAATCCTAGCTTTTCAGCAATGTAGTAAGTAAAGTTAACATCTCTGAAGGCCAAGTCAAGTCATGGAGGGAGCAGGATCATTTTTCTGTTTATGCAGATAAGGGTGAGGGGTAAATAATTTAACTGAGCTGGTGAGATTTGTGTATATCTGAGGTGTATAAATGTGTTAGCTGCTTTAGCCTCATAGCTGATTTGGGGATGCTGAATTGTAATGATAACACTGCCTGTAGCTATAACCTGTGCTGCAATACACGGCTTTCTGCTTTTACTCTTGTATTCATGCCTATGTATTTCCTTAGAAATGAAGATGTCCTTAAACCATGATCCAAAGTATTAGGGAAAAACTGGGGTGAGACCAAATTTCTAAATCCATACAAATTTTCTTTCATTCCTTCAACACCTCATTAATGGATTATAGTCCTGTAAGAAAATTGAACTTTTAGCTCATAGGGTGCACCTTTAACTTCCTGAAAGGATACCTAAATGATTTTATAGTCATATTCTCAAATTTTTAAGGAATAGATCATTTCTATGCTATATCTATTGTGAATCATTAGAAAAGGTGGAATCCTTCCACTTTGCCATTCTTAAAATAGCAAAAACTGACAGGGAACCCACGATTAGAAAACCAGCACCAAATCTCATTTTGAATATAAATAGAAAGATGATAAATAATATACTAATATAGTAAGAGAATAGTAAACCAAGACATAATATCATTTTTATCAGAAATGAAGGAATGACAGTATTGGGAGAAGGGGATTAAATATGTATATATTATATATATTTATATACATTTTATACATATATACGCTAAGTAAGAAAAATCATCAGGGCGGAGCGTGGTGGCTCTCGCCTGTAATTCCAGCACTGTGGGAGGCTGAGGCAGGCAGATGATGAGGTCAGGAGTTCAAGACCAGCCAGGCCAACATGGTGAAACCCGTCTCTACTAAAAATACAAAAATGAGGCCAGGCATGGTGGCTCATGCCTGTAGTCTCAGCACTTTGGGAGGCTGAGGTGGGCGGATCATGAGGTCAGGAGTTTGAGACCAGCCTGACCAACATGGTGAAACCCCATCTCTACTAAAAATACAAAAATTAGCTGGGCGTGGTGGCACACACCTATAGTCCCAGCTACTCAGGATGCTGAGGCAGGAGAATGGCTTGAACATGGGAGGCAGGGGTTGCAGTGAGCCAAGATCACGCTGCTGCACTCCATCCTGGGCAATA